ACTAATAGTTTTAAACAGTATTATACAATTTTGGCAAAGTTTGGTAGAACAATGTGGGTATTTCACAAAACAAGAAAACTTTAAAGTTGTAGAATATTCAGCGTTAGAAAATTATAATAAAATATACGAGACAGGGGGATAAACAATATATATACATTATGCAAAACATATTCGCAAAACTATTTAAAGAACTGTCAACCTAATTTCTCATTGAAATGAGAAATTATAATTTCTTACAAGAAAATTACCAAAATTTTGCGAAATATATCAGCAAAATGAAAGAATGTGCGCAGCAACAGAATTTTTTTTGTAAAATAAAATCCACTAAAAAGCTTTAAAACCGATGCACTGGACATTTTGCTTAAATAGTAATTTTTAAAATCTCTATATTTTTGCAAACTAAAGGTCATCTTTGATCTGGTAGAATTCAAATATCTTAGGTCAACATTTGGTTAGAAAACTATAGGGATTATAATATCAGATTTCGTGGAAACACTCAATTCCTTTCCTAAAATTTTACTTGAAAAGATTGAATGTGTGAGCAGAGAGTTTAAAATTTAAAATTTTTTATTTTTGTTCTAGCAGAATTTTTGTTATCATCAATTCAATTTCTACGCAGTGAACAAATTCCTAGAAAATATTTGAACCTATCAGAGAGAAAATCATTTGTACTTAAAGAAGCTTTCACCAATGATAATTATCAATTCTCTAATTTTTATCTGGCAATGACATCAGAAAAGAACAGTTTGTTCGTAAATCGTGTATTTGATTGTCCCTTGGAGCCTTTGATCATCCCTTGGAACCCTTGATCGCCCCTTGGAACCCTTGATCGTCCCTTGGAGCCCTTGATCGTCCCTTGGAGCTCTTGATCGTCCCTTGGAGCCCTTGATCGTCCCTTGGAGCCCGACATGATAAAGCTCATTGGAGACCTATTTCCTCTGTTAGATAAAACCCACGGTTGCAAAGTTCACCGTCAGATTATTTAACAGGAACTCGTAAACTTTGAGTTTTTAGGTAAAATATGACGCAATTTTGACGCAATTTTGACGCAATTTTGAAGCAACTTTGACGCTCGTCGATCGAAAATTTGACCCTGTCCTTGTCTCATGTTTTCAATCGATGATTCAAAATATGCAAGGGTATAAGACGGATATAAGACGGGTATAAGACGGGTATAAGACAGGTATAAGACAGGTATAAGACGGATATAAGACCGGTATAAGACAGGTATAAGACAGGTATAAGACGGGTAAAAAACGGGTGTAAGACAGGTATAAGACGGGTAAAAAACGGGTATAAGACAGGTATAAGACAGGTATAAGACGGGTATAAGACGGGTATAAGACGGGTATAAGACAGGTATAAGACAGTATAAGACGGATATAAGACGGGTATAAGACAGGTATAAGACAGGTATAAGACAGGTAAAAAACGGGTATAAGACGGGTATAAGACGGGTATAAGACAGGTATAAGACAGGTATAAGACGGATATAAGACAGGTATAAGACAGGTATAATACAGGTATAAGACAGGTATAAGACGGGTAAAAAACGGGTATAAGACGGGTATAAGACGGGTATAAGACAGGTATAAGACGGGTATAAGACGGGTAAAAGACGGTATAAGACGGGTGTAAGACGGGTATAAGACGGGTATAAGACAGGTATAAGACGGGTATAAGATGGGTAAAAGACGGTATAAGACGGGTGTAAGACGGGTATAAGACGGGTATAAGACGGATCTACTATAAAAATGGTCGACGTGTTATTTGAAAACTTTCTCTCATGGAAAAGCATAGTTATTCTCAGATACATACAGGGCTACCACAACGCTAGATTATTACTTTATAAACGAGCTAAAATTTATTAAACAGTGCTTAATGCAAGAAAAAATCTAAGAAAATAATTATTTACAGTCGTCTCTTAAGTGTCAACCTTTACGGGTAACCCTAATAATAATAATAACTAGCTGAAAGGCCCTTTTTTGTCTATAACAGTCCCCGGCCACCCATGAGTTTCCACAAAAAATGTCAGCCCAGTCTGTCCAACCGTTTGGCCGGCCATGGGCAACATATATATATGAATGTCTTGTTTTATTAAAAAGATAATGGATTCTAGAAATATTCAAATTAATGTTCTAATCCACGGACGCGGAGTTGGAAAGATAAAATTTCTCTATAAATCTGTAGATACTAATACTGGGAAATAAAATGTTTCTAAAAAAACATAAATATATTTTTAATCCGTTAAGGGAATCCATCAACAAATTATAATGTTTTTATATCTACATGACACATTATACTAAACATATAGATATATATAAAACTGGGCGTTTAGAGCGCTTGAAAACGGTTGCTCTGAAAGTCGCTCTGGGATTTTTATTGCTTAAATTCACTAAAAAGTAAATGTCGATAATTTTTCCCGGGCAAACTTTAATCCTTTTCTGGGGTCATATGAGTTGTCATACATCGGTTTACCCGTTTTAACGTGTATTGGATACAGACAGACAGATAGAACAGGAAAGCCAATAGTTATAAGTTTAATACTTCAAATTTTAATCCGGACTTGTTTTTTTGTTAATTATCCTTCATTAGAACAATTTCAGGCGTACCTCATACAACAAAAAGTCCCCAAAAGGTTGGTATTCTAAAATTGTGCACAAGTAAAAACAAAACAAAAAACTTGTTTTTGTGTCTTTAATGTTTGATAAATGCTTGCAAGTTGCGAGTAGCTAAAGAAAAAAACAATGAGTTAAAATTATTTATAAAATCACATTTCACTTTACAGAGGAAGAAGGTAAAAGGAACTGAGTTTTTCCTACAAACTTAAATATTCTTATCCCTATATCTTGGCAACCCAATGTCTTAGACCTTAAATATTTCAAACTATTAATTGTGTTAGATCAAATAATCTAAGTTTGAAATATCAAAGATGTATACCCACTGGTTGCAGAGATAAAGAAATTAGAAAAATTGCGGTTGTTGCAAAAACTCAATTCTTTTTATGCGAAATTACTGGTACAACTGTGAGACCTCGTAACTCCTCTAGTTTGGACGAAAAAAACTATTTTTTCCGGTAAAATATTCATCAAAACATTTTTGTACTTCTCAACAACTCTACAATAGGAGGAGATATTATTGAAAATTTGAAGATTCCAATCTGACGTAAAATATACTTGATTTGGGGGTGAAATATAAATATAAAATATAAAACATTTGCTGATTATAAATAAGAAATTCTACTTACATTGTGAGAATAAGATATATCTAGAACTACTAATCGACTGCACACTGTCGAAACTATATACAGCATGTCGTTCGTCGCAACATGATGAATTGTTAAACACGACAAACTAAATGATTAATTAATTAATTAATGATTAATTCATTAGCAATATTAATTCTTTAATTCTGTTTATATATTCATTATTTCGCTTGATACATATTAATTCATCCTTTCATTCACTAACTTCATTCGTTAGTTTTAGTATTCATTCATTATATATATTCATTCATTTATACTTTAAATATATATTTACTCATTCATTCTTTTGACATACTCACCCATTCAATTTTTATTCATTTATTCATATTTCATATTCGACATTTATCAATGAATGATTCTTTCATGAATATATTAAAATAAGATGATTTTATAGAATCAATTGGTCATTCATCCTTCATGCTACCTTTCATAGTTAAATTGATTTAGCATTATATACCTTGATATTCATTTATTTATACTTATAATTTTTATTATTTAATTAAACTATTTCTTCATTTAATCCTTTCATCTTGTAAAAATCCATCAAAAATTGTTCAGACAAATTTCGTGAAAATAAAATAGTTATAAGATCGAATTGGTTTTAATCAATTATAATTTTTAAACATCACATTTTTGGCAAATACTTGTCAATCATCATTATACTGATTATACAGATATTATTTATTGAGCTAAAGAAAAAAAAATTTAATTCAAACCTTTACTTCAAGAAACTCTCTTATGATGCCCCCCCCCCATATTTTTACTCCTATTGCGCCCCTAATTCGATAAAAGGACATATCCAGCAGACCAAAGAAATTGAGTCTTTGCAACAAACTCTGATTTTCTAATCTCTATATCAATGCGGGTTGTAGACATCAGATTCAAACAATGAATTCTGTAACTTCATATATTCTCAGTTTAAAATATCAAAGGTGTACACACTCAGGTTGCGAAGATATAGGGATTAGAAAATTTGAGATTGTGGCAAACACTTAATTCCTTTATTTAAAAAGAATGAAACCTGAAAAGATTAGAAAGGCTGGATATAATTATAGATCGTCCTGTTTGTGAGGACGCAAAGCTCCCCCAATTTTTCCTGTCCTCGTCCTCAACCTCTGCATGCTGATGAACTACTAGACGACCCAGTCTAAACAATATTATATATTTGTCAGGGTTTACTCAGGGGGGGGGGGNATTCATTCTAATTTCTTTCTTTTATTCATTCGTTTATCCCTTAAATCCTTTCATACACCTTTCAACCTTAGTCAATCTTTTTCAAACAATTGTTTTTAAAAAAGTTCAATTTCATTTATTTTTAATATTACAATTTATAATTGTGTAATTTGTACTAAGGGAACAATGAAAGTTTATTGCTCTGAGAGAAGTTCTAATGAAAACAATTTGTTTATTCAACTTAGGTTGAATAAATAAACAATTAACAAAGGAATAATGCAACTTTTCAACTTCATTACCATAGTCCCAAGTAAATATGATTCAATTGCCAAAGAAATTCAAGATAATTCAAACTATTAATTTTTGTAGGTCAAAGCATATAATTTTGAAATATAAAAGATTTATGTCATCTAGATATTCATTCATTCATTCATTCTTATCCTAGATATTCATTCATTCATTGATTCTTGTCCTAGATATTCATTTTTTCACTCATTCTTATCCTAGATATTCATTCATTCATTCATTCTTATCCTAGATNCTGTCCTGCCTCTGCTGATTATCTAACCTGTCCTACTTGAGCTGATTATCTAACCGGTCCTACTTGAGCTGATTATCTAACCTGTCCTACTTGAGCTGATTATCTAACCTGTCCTGCCTGTGCTGATTATCTAATTTGTCCTGCCTGTGCTGATTATCTAACCTGTCCTACTTGTTCTGATTATCTAACCTGTCCTACTTGAGCTGATTATCTCACTTGTCCTGCTTGTGCTGATTATCTAACCTGTCCTACTTGAGGTGATTATCTCACCTGTCCTGCCTGTGCTGATTATCTAACCTGTCCTACTTGAGCTGATTATCTAACCTGTCCTGCTTGTGCTGATTATCTAACCTGTCCTGCCTGTGCTGATTATCTAACCTGTCCTGCCTGTGCTGATTATCTAACCTGTCCTACTTGAGCTGATTATCTAACCTGTCCTACTTGAGCTGATTATCTCACCTGTCCTGCCTGTGCTGATTATCTAACCTGTCCTGCTTGAGCTGATTATCTCACCTGTCCTGCCTGTGCTGAAAGTGCATCTATGACAGGTCCTGCTAGATGAGTGGAGAGGAACTCTTGACAATCCTTGACACTGGTCGAGAACTCCTAGAAATAAATAATATTCAAAATTAAATTCACTGATCACAAAAATAGGACAAGATATTCCTTTCCTTAGCACACCATTCTAGACATAAGAAAAAATGTAAAAATAAAGCAAAATTACTGGTACAAATTTGAAACCTTGTAGCTTTTCTGGTTTTCATTTTTAATCTAAAAGAAAACCAAATTGTTCAATATAAAGATGGCAAAACTGTTTTTTATCAAAAACTTTCAGAAAAGTAGTTATGTTTTGAAAAGAATGAAAGATTCTATGTGATTTAAACTGAAATAAACTTACAGATGTTAATAAATATGAATTATGAATGCCTTTAGGTTGAAATACTCAAAATTTTTACAACATTTTTTTTGCAAAAGAGTTTATCAGCAAAATCCTCTCAGTTAAACATAATTTTTTGAAATTGTAAGTTACAATTTCATTTTCAAATATTACTATAGGCCTATGGGTATATTCCAATCATGTGTTTATCCATCATAAATTCAATTTAGAATTTTTGCATTGCATGGACTATCAAATATTGATTAGTGATATAGCTTCTAACGGGATATTAAATTCGACAGATATCTAATATTTAATGTTTATAAATAGCAGATATATTGATAAATCAAGAAAATTGTCAGTTTCATAATTGTTCTGGGACGTATATTTTAGTAAAAATTAATTTTACATAATTAATGTGATGACGATATATTTTAGAATAAACTTTTTGGCCCTTTCAATAAACTACCCCATTTTGTATTTACTATGGAATTTCGTCAAAATTTAAAAAACTGAGTAGATTAGATCTGTGTATTTTTTTGCTGTTTTTTTAAAGGGAGTGACCGGCAATGTATGGTAGTTGAACTGATAATGTAATATTGTGGAGAAATCTACAGAAAGTATTTGTGAACAATATAATAGAAATTAATAACTGACTAAGATTACTTATTTTCGATGATGATGGTTAATTTTATTTTCTTAACAACTTATTAGCTTACTGTAGAATTTTTGATTACATTTTTCGTCGTCGTTAATAAACAATTTTTTAAAAATCGATTCTCAAAACGCAACAGCCCAAATGGATGATTTTGAACGTCGACTTTGCACTCAAACTCAGTAATTATACATCATTAAAACGTTATATATGTCTCAAATGAATCCTAAACAATTTCTCAACAATAATACATTCTCAGTTTAACTACCGTACATTGCCGGTCACTTTAAGGTAGCGTTAGAAATTTAACAAAATTAGGACTCAAATCTCAATTATGCAGTATGACAGTTTCCTTATACTTGTGCGTAATTCTTCGAAATTCTTTGAAATTTGAATCACTTATTTATAATTACATGTAATTCTGCGAAAGTAAAATTGCACTTTCGTTGGAACCCCTAAATGTGAAAAACAAACGTCTTGATTTGTGGGAAAAACTTCTTAACATTTTATGTGCGACCTCGAATGACCCCAGAGAAGGTTTACATGGTCAGTAAAGGTTCGACAATTGTTTCTCCACGTATAAAATTTACTGGAAGGGGATTATTCATTTGGCGTACTGTCCCGGATTGGCCTATTAAAGTCTTTAGTTGTACTTTACCGCTTGCCCTAGCTGATTATAAGAATATCAGAAAAAGACAGAATTGCAGATAAATTGTCAGAATGGAATTACTATTAATGCTAAACAAGGGGCGTGAAGCACCTGAAATCCTAATATTGTTATATGTTGATATAAATGAGCCTGCATGAAAGTTGGCTGGTTGAATCTAGGATAATGTTGTTAACTTGGATTCAGATCTAAGCTTCATGCCAAGATTAGGTGATAGAAAAACATTTAGCGCCAAAAAGGAAAGACTTGAATTGAACCCCCCCCTCTTCCACACACATCCCCGTGACCACTGACCATATTTCCCATGGGCCAAACAGGCCATTGTTCAAAAAGATTTAATTTTTTTGGATTTTTAATCATACAACAGAAAGTAAAATTTCCTGCCTTCATGAACCTTCGAGGCCCCGTCCGGGTGTAGAGTTAAATCCAGACCGGGTGTTATATTTGGTCCGGGTGAGTGTTACATGTGAAATCCATGTACAAAATTGATAGGAGGGGGAAGGGGGGNTTACTTTGATGGACCCAAAGCATGCACATTATCATTGTTATTGAAACTGTTAAAATTTTTTGTTTCCTTCCCGTTCTATCATTTTTGTACATAACCAGCGGTAATTTCCTAATATGCGATTGTTTGACACACTCACCAGCACCAAATATAACGCCCGGGCCTTATTTAACGTGACACCGGGTACGTAGGGCTTAGAATCGACCCTTTCCCACCAATTATACGCAGTTTGACAGCAAGGATTTAAATTTTTACGGAACAGAGAATTTGTGGATTTTCAAGGCGTAATAAAATCCGTCGTCTCTTGTTAAATGTAGCAATGAAATTTCTGCTGAACGAGGCATTCTTCACATTTCCGGCGCATACTTTCCAATATTTACTTTAATAAATATTATCCGTTTTCTTAGCGTTTTATCGGAGATATCTTCAAAGTTCAGCAGGGTAATGTAGAAAATTATTATTGGTTTGCAAAATTGTTATAAAACTACTACTTTAATATTGTATAAACACCAGACCACTCTCCACTAAACACCACTTTTTCTTCGGTCAGTGTACTGCAAATCACTGCAGTACACACTAAAACCCTAGGGCGAAATGCATTCAGTTTCTGAAATTTGTATATTCGATCGCATGTTGGTCTATATTTCAACAATCTTTAAAGTTATAAAGTTATCTTCTGATGACACTTTTTCGTTTAATACGCATTTGCCGACAAAAAAAAGTATAAGAGAAACGTTTTATTTAATAAGTAAAATTGTAATCAAAAGTCACAGCTCTCTGGAATGACGAGCGAACAGTTAAATCCGCGCATATACATTTGTGCGTGCGTGTATGTATGTTAACTATTGCCGCTCAACCAGTCAAGTAACACATTACTGAACACTTCAGTTTCAGTAAAAGTAAATATTTCCATTTGCTGTTTAACGCCAATTAAAGGATTTAGCTCTAATTGGATGATGAGTATAGATAGAGAGATTAATGTTACCGCCATGCAATTTCTATTGGTTCAGAATAGACACCAAACACATGACTGAACCCTGATTAGATCAGGCGCTAATGGACTCGACATACAAGTGTGTGAATGTAACATAAATATACATAATGTTATGTTTGACGCCCTGGGTCACATTGAATGGGAAGTATGTTTTCCGAGTTATCCATTTTTTAAATCTTAGTTTCATATTGATTTTTAAAAAGTTCAGATTATAAGTTATGTTTAACAAGATAAAGATAAGAGATAAGGATTGTTTGAGTTTAATCTTGAAAGAGCCAATATAGGAGAAAACTGTTTTAGATTATAATATGGGACAAAGCAGATTCAAGAGAATGTTAACCGAATTCTAAATGGACTCTATTTGATCAGTGCCACCAATGCCTAATATTATATCCTTTAAACCTAGTTATCTGATCAATGATCTATGTATTCTTCTACACTTTAGCTTTACAGTAGATACAAGGTTACCCACAAGGGTTATTCGTATCCAGTGACAAACTAGAAATCCAAAACAATTTTGTTCTTGTCAAAAACTCTTCATAAGAAAAGTTATTTTGGAAAAAAATAATATTTTAATTTCCTTTAGTTTAACGAGATACCTGTGTACTAGTGTAGTGCTCCTCAGCTCTAATCCCAGGAGTGTATGCTGCTGACCAATTCATGCTGCTTCCTACCCCAATGCTGCTTCCATAACTGACTGCTCCAGGGTAGAAAACACTGCTTCCAGCTCCCTGAACCTGCCGGCTGACATTCCTTAAAAATATATTTTTTAATATTTTGAACATGGTTAAAAAGTATGAATACAGAAATTGCAAGAGTCAAGTGAGAAAGTATGAAAACTGCGGAGACGAGAAAATTGAAATTTTCAAATTTGACATCTCAATATTTCACAAGCACACAGCAGACGTACACCAGAATATTTAATATTCAAAGATTGTTCAGAACTATTTCAAACATTTGAAAATTGCAAATTGCGAGGGAACAACTTACTCAGACTAATATTAAATTAACTGGACACGGGCAGCCGTGGTACATTTGAATTTCCGAGCCGGGTCAACCTTTCCGGTCCCAGTTTGTATTGTATCCCCTGGACATTGGGTAAATAAAGCAGACACTCAATAGGACTAGCCGGTATAACAAGGTTGACGCGGTCAGGTCTTAAAACATGACTAATTCAAAAATTGATCTTGACCCTTATTGTTGACTAGTTGATGATTAGTAGATGTAAATAGTTCAGATAAATTCCAGAGAACCCCTCAGTGGGAGATTTTGCAGATAAATTCCTAATCAAAGGTCAGAATGTGTGTTGAAATGAAAATGAAAGTAAAATTGATGAAACCCTTGATAATGGACATTTGGCACTTTTTTTAATTATGAAAAACTTATGGTTTGGTCTGATCTACGATGAACTATATGTCCTGCTGTACACTGTTCCTGGATTTGTTTTGGTAAAATATACGAAAAACTATATGTCCTGCTGTACACTGTTCCTGGGTTTGTTTAGGTCTAATATACGATGAACTCTATGTCCTACCGTACACTTTACCTGGGTTTGGTTTGGCTAATATACGATTAACTATATGTCCTGCTTTACACTTTACCTGTGTTTGGTTTGGTCTAATATACGATTAACTATATGTCCTACCGTACACGTTCCGTGGGTTTGGTTTGGTCTGATATACGATGAACTATATGTCCTACCATACACTTCACCTGGGTTTGGTTTGGTCTGATCTACGACGAACTCTATGTCCTGCCGTATCAAGGATATGTAGAACTTGATCTCTACAGATGTCAATAAGACGGCCAGGAAATAAAACTGGAATTGATTCATTTCTCATCCTTCTTGATATCCTAGAGAAATGTGTCAAATTATCTAAATATCTTAATTCATCATTAAAAATGACGATCACACCATGTATTCAAATTTATGCTATTTACAGTTTAAATTGCTTGCTAAGCGGAAAAACAAAGAAATCAAGATCTTTCATCTTCATTCGAAAAATAAACTGAAAGAAGAATAAAAATTTAGACAAAGGGGTGTGGGGAGGATTGAAACGCAAACAATAATAATTTAATTTTGGTTAAAATACGATAAAAGATCACTTAGTCAATTGCCTTTTTTCAGTCCAAATTTAAGGTTAAATATTTGAATATTTTAAAATTTAAGAATATAAATTTTTTTTCACGATTTTTACAGAATAATGATAGATAAATTAATTACCATTCTTTTTCTGATTATTTGTGTTTTTATCAAGATAAAATTTTTCAATTGTTTATTCTTTATAATTTTTGTAAGTAATTAAATATTCAAACAAACAATATTACTAATTGGGCCTGAAAACAAAAGTAAGAGAAGCGTCTAACCCAAACAATTCTATATTAATCTTATTTCAGCTTTTTACTTGTGAGGTTTTCAAAACTATGATTGTTTTAAAATTGCAAGTCAGGCTGTTGAGTTCTTTATAAAATCATGCTGACTTGGTTTCAAAGAAATAATAAATAAAGAGATTGATGCATCGCAATTCTGTTATGAATTTTAAATTTCTTTAAAATATTTATTTATTTAAATTTGCATGCTTTCAGAGGATTTAAAGATTAGATGAAATTATGATTTTGTTAGGAAACAAAATTATTTTGAAATTAGATTTTACTAGAAATTTGAGACTCTAAAGTTTAATTGTGCCCTTTGAGGATACACAATAAGTACGCATATTGAGAATTCACAATATGGACGCATATTGAGGATACACAATAAGTACACATATTGAGAATGTACAATAATGACTCATATTGAGAATGCACAATATGGACGCATATTGAGGATGCACAATAAGGACGCATATTGTGAATTTACAATTAGGACGCATATTGAGGATTCACAATTAGGACACATATTGAGGATGCACAATATGGACGCATATTCAGAATGCACAATAAGGACGCATATTTAGAATGCAAAATAAGGACCCATAGTGAGAATTTACAATTAGGACGCATATTGATGATTCACAATTAGGACGCATATTGAGGATGCACAATAAGGACGCATATTCAGATTGCACAATAAGGACCCATATTGAGAATTCACAATTAGGACGCAAATTGATGATTCACAATTAGGACGCATATTGAGGATGCACAATAAGGACGTATATTGAGGATTCCCACTAAGGACCCATATTGAGGATTCACAATTAGGACACATATTGAGGATTGACAATAAGGACGCATATAAAGGATGCACAATAAGGACGCATATTCAGATTGCACAATAAGGACCCATATTTAGAATTCACAATTAGGACGCAAATTGATGATTCACAATTAGGACACATATTGAGGATGCACAATAAGGACGCATATTCAGAATGTACAATAAGGACCAAATTGAGGTATCACAGTAAGGACGCATATTGAGGATTCACAATAAGGAAATATATTGAGGATTCCCACTAAGGACCCATATTGAGGATTCACAATTAGGACACATATTGAGGATTGACAATAAGGACGCATATAAAGGATGAACAATAAGGACGCATAAGTATTCAATTTCTTATTTGACGCATTAATAAAGATGAATTAATAGTTAGGACTCTAAGTATGAACGCAAATTGAGGACCCTTATTGAAAATACATGTTGTGGACGCACATAAAGACTTAAGAGCACATTTTAAGAACGAACACAAATGACAATGCATATTTATGAGGCATTATAATTTTCGAACATGCTAATGAGAGAACACTTCAATAGATACATGCACTTATAGTAAGTACACACAGTAAGACTATAAAAAAGAAGATACATTTGTTTATATTGGCTTAATAAATTAGACACAGTTTTGCTCGTTAAGTTTTCATTATTACCCTGTAATGTTGTTGTTGTAAAAGTTGTTTAACTGAATGCGTTCACGACCTTTGCTTCGTGTAAACTGTAGCTGCGAAGCGGGTCAGCTCATCAGCTGATCCGAGGTGGGGGGTATCTAGCAGATATCCTGGTATATCCTGCTTTCTTTATGTTTATCTATCTATCCACTTGACTCATTTTTTAGAGGTTTTATAATGTTTTCTAAGAAGAAGAAATTAGCAGAAAAAAAATTAAAGAAAGAATTAAAGAAAGAAAAGAATAAGAGATGAATCAATGGTTAGGGCAGTTGGATAAAAGTTCCAAATGCGTTTTTTTTGTTGAGAACAAAAGATACTTAAAGGGACTAAAGACAAAATTTCACGTGACTCTTCGGCCTCCAGTTATAGAGTAGCATGTCCCATTCACAACGGTGCCCTTAAAACCTTTCTCTGATAAGAAAAGATCAAGTGTACCACGGAGAAAGGTTATCCCTCTTTCTCTATCTTGATTTATTCTTAATGGCTCTTCTCTATAAGTGACTAGAGGGAGGGAACCCCCGGACGCCATGAGCCTCCGCAGACACGAGCCTCCCAGATTTGCTAGGCAGACCAGCCTCCAATATGCAGACAAAGCCTCCGCTATGCAGTAAACAAGCCTCCACCATAGAGCACAGCTTTTGTTAATCTTGGTTTTTATGTGTAATGAAAAATTTTAACAATTTTTTTTGACGTAGCGGCATAAGAATTTTACTAAAGATTAGATTTATTTCTTGATTGTCATGATTAGAAACATATATGGACTCATAAAGTGGTTTTTAAGATTTATATTAAAACTTTAAACATTTCTTGCGCAGAAAGGAAGATATTTGGAGAAATATTTCTGGAGTAAATTTAGTTTGTTTTATTGTAATCTTTGATTAAAACAATACATTTCTTTGAAAAATGTTAAGATTTAAATAAACGATACAAATTTTCTAGATTTAATTCGAACTACAAAAAAGGAATTGCTTAATGTTTAAAGTTTTATATACAACTGTATTAGTCATAATTAGGCACTATTTACGATAAATGAAAAAATACGTCTCATCTTTGAGAAACCTCTTATGCCACTATGTCGAAAAATTTAAATCTTTTATTTAAACTTAAAACAAAAGTTTAAAAACCTCTTTTATTACACAGGTACATTTTGATGTATTGCGCATGCTCATTTCAACACTCATCAAGATAAAAATACCACGCTTTCTTCTTCATTCTTATTCAGAGTTATTCAGTTTAAGAGTTGTGAATCGGACATACCAATCTATAAATGAGGTGTCACTAAAAACTACGTATCTGAGAAAATAATGTTACTTTAATTATTCCCCCCCCCCCGGCCCCCCTCACACAGGAGAAAAACCCAGTAACGTAACTTAATGTGAAATTCTTTATTATCTTTCTTTGTTGTATTTTCGGTTGTGCTGGCCTAGATATCTGCGCGCTGTCTCTGCAATAATGTTATATATATATATAGCAAAAGCTCCGGAATGTGAGACCTGTGGGTGACTCAGATTACACCGTTAGGTAGCTACCTAAAAAATAGATAAGAAGTAAATACCCATGCTAACCTAACATTTAGTAACTTAATCATTAACGTAAAACAAATAATAAATTAATATTTCCATTTCTTAAATTTTAAAAGTTCACAAAAAAAAACAAGACACACTCTGATTTTCCTATCCCTATATCTATACAACCCTATGTCGTAGACATTAGATATTTCAAACCTCTAAATTATGTTAGACCAAATAATCAAAGTTTGAAATTCCAAAAGTTTACACCAACCAGGTTGAAAAGATATCAGGATTAGAACATTTGAGTTTGTGGCAAGGACTCAATTCCTTTGTGAATTTTCAGTTTTACAAAGAAAAAAGTCTTGCAATTTGTGTAACATAAATAACTAAAAAATTGCTTATGAATCGCACAGAAGCCAACCACTGCAAATATAACTCACTAAGTAATTGCATTATTTCAATTTCTGAAGAAAATAGATTGCAATCTACAGAGTTACCTTCAATGGGAGAAACTTCAGGGACGACTGTAGGAAATTAATCATGTCTGTTTCCTTATATTTATGATTCCTTACAATTTATAAACTTGGTGCTTTTTTGGCCAAATTATTAAATAAGTCCAGACCACATTCAAGGTAGAAGACTTAAAGGGAGTGTTCGCGAAAAATGAAAGGGGGTATAGGATTAATGCGATAAAAAAGCGCTTTTGATCGCTACTAATCTTACTTCTATCTGTTGCGTCTATAAGGAGAAAATTGTTAAAAACGACTCACACCGAATAACGTAGTGTCCATACAAATTTGGAAAGATGCAACATTCAACTCGGATCGTAAACAAAACAATTTAATTCCAAACGAATCATTCAGATATTACAAACAGTAGTCATCGATTATTTTTTAACGCATTCGTATATATTAAATATTTGATAATATTTTTGATTTTGTGTTTTTTAAAATAATTTTCGCTGGCGTTGAATTTTCTAACATTCCTGGAAAATGTGGAAATGTCGTCTTCATTATCAAAAATCCTCGAAACAGGAATAAATGTTTTCAAAAGTAACTCTCAGGGATCTCAGGTCATGAAAAATACAAAATTTAATGAAATATCAAATATTTACGTATGCGCCGAAAAATAATCGATGACGATTGTTTGTTTTATCTGAATGATTTGTTTGGAATTAAATTGATTTGTTTACGATCCGAGTTGAATGGGGCATCTTTCTGAATTTGTATGGACACTACGTTCTTCGGTATTAGTCGTTTTTAACAATTTTCTCCTTATAGACACAACAGATAAAAGTAAGATTAGTAGCAATCAAAAGCGTTTTTTTATCGCATTAAGCCTATACCCCCTTTAATTTTTCGCGAACACTCCCTTTAATTCAACCTTGGGAAAGACTTATTAAAAGAGTTTCAGGTCGTCTTTGCAGTCTTATCCTTTGCTGGTTACCTCGTGGCTTACTTTGCTGCGGAACCTTCTAAAATCCCTTCTTTATAATCTTATTTTGTTCATTTTAAGCTTTTAGATGACTTGACCAAATTGTTATGAGAACTTTTTTCCAGTTGAAAAGTTATGTTAGACAAAGTTGATTTTCAGTAAAGTTTGATCATAGTTTAAGAAAATTTTCAAGCTGAAAAGTTAACGCTGAAATATTAAATATCATTCATTTTATTTTCAAAGGAAAAAAGTTTGTTCCTGCCAAAATTCCTCTTTTTTTAAGTTCTCTTCTGATTCAATAAAGATACAATTGAAACATTCAAAATAAGCATATCATTCAATCATTTTTTTGATATCATGAGTATTGAAATTTTATGTCAGAAACACTAAAAAAAGAATCAGAATTTAAGCACATTTGTAAATAATTCAGTTTTTTTTCTAATTGCGACATTTTTCTAACTTTGTGCAAAAGTTATTTTTGGTCACATTCTGGTTATAGGTTTCTAATTAGTCCAATAATACTCCATCTATTCTTTTTAACATAAAATATCTAAATAAAAGAACCAGCATACTTCGAATATATGTGTCCGCCCTGTAAAAATGTAAGTTCCAGATGTCCAATATATTAAAACTTTCACAATAACTCCCCTCCAACATTTTATTAAACTTTGTAAAAAGAAAAAAAGTTATCAATAAGTATTTGCCCCCCCACCCCTCCGCGGAAGGTTCGGAGTCATCCACTCAAATCTATTTCAGTTTCCAAGTTTAGAAGTCTGAGTTTCGACACAATAAATTTTCTCGGATATGTTGACTAATTCGTAGGAGAAGAATAAGGTTCGGTTAGGAGGGGTAGACTAAGGTTTGGAGGAGAAGAGTAAGGTTAGGAGAAGAAGAGTATAGGTTTAAAGGGGAAGAGTAAGGTAAGGAGGAGAAAAGTAAGGTTTGGAGGAGAAGAGTAAGATTAGGATGAAAAGAGTAAGGCTAGGAGGAGAAGAATAAGGTTAGGAGAAGAATTAGGTTAGGAGAAGAGTAAGGTTAGGAGGAGTAGAATTAGGTTAGGAGAAGAAAAGTAAAGTCAGGAGGAGAAAAAGTAAAGGTTCGGTTAGGAGGATGATATTGCGGGAGAGAATCAGTAAAGGACGGGTTCAGTTCATCTCAAGATTCCGGAGACAGAGAGCGGCGAGAATATTTCTGAGTTTTGAGCCTTTTTAACTTTTTCTTTGTAGAACCATGTTTTACAAAAAGAGCTACAATTTACATAGAACTTGCCAGTTTGATTAGAAATGAATTAAAGTAATCTCAGTAAACTCAAACTGCACTCAAGTCCGTCATTTTCCTTAGTATTGTTTTTTTTTCTTTACCTACAGACTATTTACTTTGTCCCACAACGAATTTAGACTCTTTAGACCAGATTTATTAAACTTTTTTCGGAGTGAGAAAAAAAAACAGAATTTACATTTAAATATTGTAAACAACTCCCCACTTCCCCCTGTCATACGTATCAAATGTTATCACAAAAAGAAATCGAATTTTCCAAACCAGAAGTTTGAAATTTTGTTGTGAATCTAAGGATCAAGCATTGATCTACATCTTATGCAGACTTAAGGATTCATTTTATTTATATTCGAAATTCACCGGTGCTCTTACCCTGAAAGAATACCTATTATTGAGGGATCAAGCGATGATCCTCAAATCTTGATATTGATATCAAGCGTTGATCCTCAAATCTTGATATTGATATCAAGTGTTGATCCTCAAATCTTGATTTTGAGATCAAGTGTTGATCCTCAAATCTTGATATTGAGATCAAGTGTTGATCCTCAAATCTTGATATTGAGATCAAGTGTTGATCCTCAAATCTTGATATTGAGATCAAGAGTTGATCCTCAAATCTTGATATTGAGATCAAGAGTTGATCCTCAAATCTTGATATTGAGATCAAGAGTTGATCCTCAAATTTTGATATCAATATCAAGTGTTGATCCTCAAATCTTGATATTGAGATCAAGTGTTGATTCTAAAATCTTGATATTGAGATCAAGCGTTGATCCTCAAATCTTGATATTGAGATCAAGTGTTAATCCTCAAATCTTGATATTGAGACCAAGTGTTGATCCTCAAATCTTGATATTGAGATCAAGTGTT